AATACTAGATCAAGATCTTTTATATGAGAATTAAAGTTTTCTGAACAAATAATAATATCGTCTAAATAAGCCAGAATAAGGATGTTCGGCAGACTGGACCGAAATTTGTCAATAATTCTCTGAAATGTGGCTGGAGCATTTTTAAGACCGAAGGGCATTCTATTAAATGCATAAATTCCGAATGGAGTTGTGAATGCCGTCTTTAATTTATCCTCATCTGACATTTTTATTTGCCAATAGCCTGATTTTAGGTCCAAAGTTGACATAAACGGGGTTGTTTTCGCTGAATGCAAAAGATCCTCCATACGTGGCAGTGGATATGTGTCAGTGGTTGTTATGGTGTTCAATTTTCTATAATCAACGCAAAAACGAATAGAATTGTCCTTTTTTGGAATGAGCACCACTGGAAATGCCCAAGGAGATTCGACTTCTTCTATAATTCCTTTTTGTAACATATTGGTGATTTCGACCTTCAATTTTTCTTTCATGGCAGGTGAAATTCTGTATGGTGGATTGGAAATTGGCTCATGAGAACCAGTGTTAATTTTGTGCTCTATGCCCTTTATTGGAGTACATATATTTTCAAATATTTCCTGATTGGCATTTAAAAACTCCCATAAAATCTTCTTTTCATCTGATTTCAATGTAGATTTTTCATCCTTACATATGTTGAAATCAATAACATTTAATTCAAAAGCAGCTGTGGAGTCCTTGCGGCATTTTTTCAATGGCGGAAAAAGATTTGACTGCTTTGGCATTTCAAAATCATTGGGCAATGTGTCCGAAAAGATTCTCAATAATCCACCAGGGGAATAATCTTCTGGTTTTGAGTACATTTCACCCAAAGTTGGGGGTTTTTCATCATAATTGGATTCAAACCATGCCATAAAATCATTTATATTGCATGCCATTTTTGTTGTTTTATTTTCAATTAGAGTCTGATTGAGTCTTATGTCGTCCATGTTCGATGGTTTTGCTTTAAATGAAAAAAGTTCTTTCGGTGCATCTTTAAAATACCACGTTTTCTGAGCCAGATCCATAACCATACCAGCTTGCTCAAGAAAATCGATGCCCAAAAGAGTTCTATTATTTCTGGCGTTTGGCAGACATATGAACCTTATTCTTTTCAATCTTTTTCCAATTATAATCTTCACGACTGTTGAACAAACTAGTTCTTTACGCACTATTCCATCAGCCAACGTTATTTCGGCGTAAACTTTTTGGAATTCCTCCTTCATTTCAACAAGTTTTTGGAAAAGATGGTAACCGGCAATACTAGTCCTAGCAGCTGTGTCTAAATAAGCTTCTCCGTTCAGTCCATTGACATTGATGTCCACGGTGGGAACGTTATGACCTATGAGAGTTGTTTGGACACTGTTGAAATCAAGAAGTTTCGGACTTTCCATTACATTCCTGTTGTTGCATGTAGGGCAATTGGATCTATAATATCCTACAGCACCACATCCATAACAGCTGAGTTTAGTTTCTTCAGGTTTTCCCCGCTTTTCCATTTCAATACGTTTATAACAAACGTCAGCCGTATGGTTCTTCTTTCTACAGTAAGAACAGCGAAGTTGGCCTTTTTCTTTTGTTTCAAATGGCGTTGAAATTGCGGCCATTTTATTTTCGGAAATTGACATTTCGATATCCCTAGCTCTATAAAGCAATTCTTGGAAAGAACTCACGCTTTCTCTAGGAATTTTCTCACGAATGGGAATCGAAATCTGTGAAAATATCATATTAATGATTGTATTTTCTGGTAGCCTTTCCTTTAATTGAGCGAAAAGACTCCTTTTGCGACAAACAAATGCATCAGTTGACTCATTTGGTCTTTGTTTGTCCTGAAAGATCTCTGAATAAATCCTCCAATCAGGTTTTGGGGGTGAAAATGCATTTCGAAGTAATTCGATAGCTTCGTTGAAAGTTTTGGCTTCATATTGAACACCTTGCCACCAAGTGGATGCATATCCTTCAAAAAGCAATGGTAGGCTAAGAAGGGCTCTTTCGTCGGGTATATTTTCTGCCTCTTTAAAAATCAGTATAGTCGCTATGAAATCTTCTACTTTAGCCGTATTTCTACCTCCATTAAAACGCGAGCTACATGAGCTAAAGCTGGTTTTTGTCTCTTGTCGAGCATTCAAATTTCCAATTAGAGAAGATAGCTGATTCAGATCGGAGATACTAAGACTCGCAGGGGCATTGCTCGAAGCTGAGCTAGATGGACGGGGATTTGCCATATCTGGGTTTGGAGCCGTGTTTTGTCTGCTACAAGATGGTGCAGTAGAAGGAGTAGATTGGGGATTAGGGTGGTTTATAGGGGAATTCAATTGATTGGACTCATTTTCAAATCCTACAAGAGGGCTCATAGCACTTAATGAATTCATTGTTGTCCTCGGCATTATTGAAATTAAATAGATTTTCTGCCAAGAACTGAGTTTCTATACCACTTTTCCTCAATTATCAAACTCTGCCAAATTTTCCAGATTTTAGCACTCGTTTTTTCCTAAAACCAACAACAACAGCACCACGTTTCTGCAGTTCTGGTTGCAATGTTAATGTTAAAAAAATGTTAAAAATGATGTAACCAAACAACAGACACTTCTCCTACACAACAACGTTAACTATGGGCAAACAATTCCAAATTTTTAGCAGCTTCTTAAAATTCACGATGGGCGCCAGATGTAAGGGGGGAAATCTCCAAATGGTGAAAATTCCTTTCCTTGGTAAGGGTTATTAATAATTTTATAATTTTTATAAATTTATTCTGGGACAGAATAAGTCGAATCGAACAGTATTCGTCCTCAGGTTCGCTTGCTTATGTAGCCTTAAGGCTTCCAAAGTCTTAGCGGTTTGCAAATTTTATAATTATTTTATGTTTCCCAAAATAAAAGAGGGGTTTTTCCGTTTACCAACTTTATTACTCTGTTGCTCGATCAGAATAGAAAGATGCAACGACATTTCAATGACCAACTAAGCATAAGTTTAATCATAACATAAAATAGAACTTAACTACTAATTGAGTATTTATTACTTTGCAATTATAGGTATTTTGCATATACATTGAGTTATTGAGAGAAAAAGAGTAGCATAATGGCCCTGACTATCGTTAAGTTAATGGGTACGTGAGAGCATTCATACACTAAACTTCGTTAAGCAAGAAGAAGCATAGAAAAAGAGTACAAGAGAATAATAGTTAAATTGCTCCTTTGAGTGTAAGTGTTAACCTATCGCTGTTACAAAAGCTAATGCTACCGCCTAACATAACATGCGATGTAACTTGCATTAGCATAATACTGATATTACATTCTCTCATGTTAGTTATTATGTTAAATTATGCTCTATGATATTATGATTATGTTAAACATATATAAACGGGCTGCTACACGACATTTTTATCGTGTTTTTATACCCTACACCACATAGTGGTAAGGATAATATGTTTTTGTGCATTTGTTTGTAACATGGAGAAGGAAGCGAAATAAAGCCAAAGTTAATTTTGAGAATCTTCATAGGATCAATTTCTGAGTCGATTTATGCATGTCAGACCGTTCCTCCATGTATTCTAGTGAACAAAATGCATTTATTATCCGAATGAGACGAAATTTTCCAAACAATATTTCATCCGATTTGGCGTTTTATCAAGATCAATTCAGATTTGGATATGGTTCCCATAAATATTCTTAACCGATTTCGGGTAAATTGTGCCCAAATGACCAATGTCCGTCCAAATGACCGGAATTTTTGGCACAATTCACTGAATTCTGTTTGGAGCATGTATCTAGAATTTGGTGAAAATCGGTACAGATATAGCTATAGCTCTAATATATGTTTCATCCGATTTGATGTTTAAGTATTCCACATTCGTAATATGCCTCCTACAAGAATGATGTTTGGTATCAGATACATCCCACAAATATCTCTGCTAAGTTGTAGCAAGATCGGTTCAGATTTGGATATAGCTCCCATATATATCTTCAACCGATTTCGGGTTAATTGTGCACCAAATGGCCAATATCTATCCAAATGTCATGGATTTTGGCAAATCCGGCCGAATTCAGCCTAGAAGCAAGTACACCAATTTTGGAGAAAATCGGTTCAGATAAAGCTCTAGCCCCCACATTTATGTTTCATCGGATTTGATGTTGAAGTTCCTCACATACGTAATATACACTCAACAAAAATGATATTTTGTATCAGATACAGCCCAAAAATACATCTCCCAAATTTTGTCAAGATCGGAGAGTTCGTTTCCGTTTTGTGGAACTCGGCTCCGATATATATTTTTTAATATAATCCTTCTCGAAGTGATATCACGCACTCTATAACAATGTTATTTGATTAAAGATTAAAATGTCTCCCTCAAATTTCGTGAACATCGATTCAGAATTGGATATTACCGGGTAATTTGAATTCAAATATTTTTGTTGAATGTGAATAATATTTTCGTACTTGATTTGCAAAAGAAATTTGAAGTATGCTCGCAGTTCGAACGCCGAGTAATGTTTTCCTTAAATGGAATATAATTTTTTAAACTGTCGGTAAATCGGAGAAATACAGCTTCACACACTTTATACCTAGAAGCATATTTATTATATATTTATTTATATTATTTTTATTATTTATATTATTTTATATATATATATATATATATATATATATATATATATATATATATATATATATATATATATATATATGTATATATATATATATATATATATATATATATATATATATATATATATATATATATATTTATATTATTTTTATTATTTATATTATTTTATATATTTATTTTAAGATTTTTGTGGATTATAGTGGATTTATTTGATTTATACGCGATTGAATTGTAAACATGTTATACAACGTTTTCTCAAGTTTAGCATCCGCAAATTTAAATGAAACATAGCCTTTAATTCAGGTCTTTGTCGTTTCCCACAACATTTACCGTAAAAAATTAAAACACAAAGTAAGGTTTAGTTTTGCATTGCTATAAGCAGTTTTGTTTTTTTTTGTATTTAAATTGCTTTTTTTTCTTTTAAAAGTGTGCTTAACATCTAAATACAACAGTCTTTCCATAACCATAAAATAGTAGAATATAAAAACAATGCTTTAAACTAAAAAAATAAACCAGAGTTTAAAAAATATAAATCAATGCAATTACAAAAGTATACAGATTAAATATAATGTTGGATAATATTTAAACCCCGCAAATGATGTTGATAGGAGCCATTAATAACCTCCGATTGGCTCATCATTTGCGAGGTTTTTTTTTTTTTTTTTGAATAATTTATTTATGCTGTTACTTTATCCTGAAATGCCTTAATTTATAAAAAAAATAACCCCAGTTGTTGTATATTGGTGATATGGATTAAGGTAGCCAGTTGCTAAATTGGAGGTTAGTTGCTAGCCCGATGTTGCGATGCACTTAATCCGAAGAAAAATTTGTGTGGTTGGCGTGTCTTTTCAACAAATTGTAAGATCTTTACTAAAGACTTAATACAATTTGGGTTGACGTGCCAATTGTACGAATGGCGACAGCATAGCCATTGTTGTACAATGTTTAACGTTAATTGTTGTTCGTTTGTAAAAAGTTTTTTTTTTTCGCCAATGCGAAAAAAAGGTTTTTGCCACTTCAAATCATTAAGAAAAATTTCATCCACTTTTCACCACAAAGTCCTTAGGTAATTCTTTAAAAAGTTGATGCAATTCCATCCATAGTCAACCTAACAAATCCCTCCCGTGAGAGAGGAATTTGTTAGGTTAAAAATTTCAAGAATAGACCGCCTAATAAGAGAGAAAACTTCATTTATTTGAGGCAAAAATACCAGAATATTTTCAAAATGTTTTAAAGCAACGGGGGGTTTTTTGTTGCATTCAGAAGATAGTTGAGTTGTGGTGGAGAAATAAATTTCGACATTTGAAAATTGTCATACATTACAAAGGAAAAAATTCTTCAATTCCAAATTTCTACCCCCTAAAATAAGGATAAAATTTGAAATCTTGATTTCTTCTATTCGAAATGTTAGATAATTTTCAAATGTTACTATTTAAAACTCCAGTCCAACTCTCGTAAGCCCCTGAATACAACGGGTGGGTAGTTTAATAGACTTTATGGTTAATAACTTCATTTTCGCAACTATATCCAAACTATTCTCAAGCCTCGCCTTTGTAAAGACCAACAGATAAGGAATTTCTTCCTTAACTGTTAAGCCTTCACAATCGGCAGCTTGAAATAGCTTTAATAAAGTTCAAAAACAAATACTTATTAATCTAAAGCCCATAAAATACCCGGCAATGCGTTTCATAAATGAATAATAATTCATTGAATGTTGTGCAATAATAGATTAAAAATCTATATAACTGTTTGATGGGGTCCAGGCGTTCATAGCCTGTAAAGCCGGTTTGTAGAAACACAGCGTGTTGTAGGAAGGCAACTTAAAATTAGCCTTAACCTAGTAATGATGTAAGTGAACTCGCGATTTAGATACCTAAAATCGGCCCTAACAAATCAGTTTGATTTAAGAGTTCAAAGAGTGCTCTCAATTCTATATAATTGAGAGCCCTCAATGGCCAATAAAACCAATGAGATATGTTAAGGGAATTTTAAATATATAAACCAAGAGAAACCTATTAATGTGTTTGGGTGAAATGAAGAGGCAGCCATAACTCGTGTGGGAGAGGTACAACGAATTATAACCACTCTTTATAAAATGTGATGCCACTACCAACTCTCTTGGAAATTAATTATAGATTAGTTACTTTTAAAATATTTTAGAGTTTTTCCATTCTGGTGTATGACATCACTGCTGTTGTGTTTGTTGTTGTTTTAGTTGTCTTCAGCCGATTTGCGTTTACGACACTGTTCCGTGGTATGGCCACGGAAATTGCAATACGTACAACGTTTTGTGCCCTTGGAGCCACGTACTGGTCCCGTTTGTTCAGCTTCATCTTCCATCATATTATGTTCAATGATGCGACCCTTCTCCAAAAGCTCACGGAACGTTTTGATGTCATGGCGAGCAATATGCTTGCGGTATTTGATATTCAAGAGACCATATACCAAATCGATTTCAGTCTCCTCGTCATGTCTACCATCAGGCAATTGAGCCAACAGGGCCCTCTTCTGGCACACGAAAGTATCAATGGCAACGGAGTCTTCTTGTTTCTTTTCGAAGATTTCCATGTAGATTTGATAGGCCGGTTTGGTGGGCGAGAAATGGTCACGGATCAAGGCCAAAACATCATTCCATGATTTAGCCTCCTTGCGAACACCCTGCCACCAAGTCGATGCCAGGCCATAGAAGAGCAAAGAAATGCCCTTCAAGGCGTCCTCGTCACTGATACATTCGATTTCCTTGTACGTTACAATTGAGGTTATGAATTCTTCAACGGCTTCATGATCACGTTGGCCACCGAAACGGGAGGGACAGTTACTGAAACTTCCCTTGGATTTTGTTTGGACAGTTTCAGCAGCTTGGGCAGCGCTATTGGCAGCCGAAATGCGAACAGCTTCGATGAGTTGTTGCAATTGTTCAGTGGTCATTTGCACCATTTGAGCCATTTTGTAGAATTTGTTGTTGTTTTTAGTTGTGTGTGTTGGAGTATTTCGGTGTTGACTAACAAAGCCACTTGCTTAGATTTATTGGCGAATGTTGAAACTTTTACCGTTTTAGCTCCGAACTAACATTAGTTGGTGTTGGTCGTTGCGTTAATCGAGGTTCGCAGTAGACTGGTTTGCCATAGCAATGTTGTGGCCTTTTATAGCCGGCAAAAATATGTGAAAAGACAGAGAGGGAAATAGAGAAAAATTGTACCTGCCCACAAATGTAGCGTTGTGTATGCTTAAGAGATGAATAACAAACGTTTCACAATTTGTGTAATTCTAAGCAAAGAGAACAATTCAAAACCCGCTGAAACTCAATAGAATTTTGTTTGTGTGAATGTGAGTTCGTGGAAGCAGATAGCTGACTATTGACGAAATACATTTATAGAATTTGATAACAACTAATTGATTTGTTTAACATGTGCTCTATTCCAGAACCCGCAAGAATCTATAAGTTTTGCAATGTTTTTCGATATCACAAAGGGAAAATCAGTTATCGTAATAAAACTGTCTTACATTTTTGCAGTTCTGGGGACACCTACGGTGACAATATGTTTCTGCGTTTAATCTTCTTTGGTGATACAACCGCCAAAATTTCACCATTTCAAAGGGTGCCTAAGGCACCGATTCATTTGAAGAGAAGTCCTAGGTCTGTTTGTTTTCACAACCTATGTCCTTGAGTGATGATTTTCGCCCAGAAGACGCGGGCTGTCGCAGATATTTCCCTCGAGGTCAGGTGTTCAATCCCCGCCAAAGGAATGTGTTTATGGTACATTGTTTAGAGCCTTCTATATACCAAGACGTGGACCTGCACAGACAATTTTCTTTCTTAAGCTGTAGTTTCCATTACCAACTTCAAATACCAAATCTGATACAATTCCGGTGAATAATGTCCTTAAATTAACAAAATACCAAATATCAGGAGGTGCCGTTATATGGGGCTATACGAAGAAATGGACCTGCACAGCCACTTTTCTGAATTTAGTATCCATTACGAACTTCAAATAATAAATTTGAAGCAATTCCGGTGAAAAATGTCGCTAAAATCATCAAAATACCGAATATCAAGAGGTACCCTTATGTCGGTGCTATAAAAAAAGGTGGACCTATATGGCCCATTTTCAGTATCAAAAGTCCTGCAGACATAATATACAATTGAGTACAATTTTATCAATCTACTTCATTTCATTCGGAAGCTAGAGTGATTTCCAGATTGATTTCAGACGGATAGACGGACAAACATCGCTAAATCGACATTGAATTTTATGCTGATCAAGAAAAAAGGATAGTGGAGTCTAAATATATATTTCGAGGTGTTACAAACGGAATGATAAACATAATATACCCTTCATACCATGGTGGTGGGTATAAAAATAACTGTAAGAAAACAACTATGTTTGGACAGGTCGAACTATAATACCCTCCACCATTAGGAGGACACTAGGAAATTAAAAAAATCCGTCAAAAATATCGCTTAAATGAAAGCAGTTATATGGAAACTATACCGGAATAAGCAAATTTCGGTCATAGACTGTAGTACCCATTGCGAGCTTCAATAACGAAATTTAAAACAATTCCCGTCACTAATGTTATTAAAATCGTCAAAATATCTTATATCGAGTGGTACCGTTATATGGGGGCTTTACGAAAACGTGGAGCGACATGACCCATTTACGAAATTAACCTGCCTACCGGGAATATACATATGTGTGCAAAATTTTAGCCTTCTTTCTCAATTCGTTCGAAAAATAGCGTGAATACAACAGACATCGCTAAATCAAACACTTTGCAGGGTGTAACAGAAGTATTTCGAGGAGTTACAAACGGAATGACCAACTTAATAGACCCTTTATAGAATGGTGGATGATATAAAGATAAAAGATCAAAAAGCCATGCTGAATTGACATTAGTGAAGTTTTGCGAAGAGTTCAATCTTCTTTGGTTCCACGAATTCAGGAGTCGAAACAGAAACACCTCAAGTCGCCCTCGTTTTCCATTTCTTAGATTTTTTTTCATTTCCTTGTAAGCCTTGTCGTGGATAAGTCGAGATCTCCTATCCATGTGTTCCTGAACACATGGTCCACAAGCTGCAGGACTTCTTTTCGAGTGGGAGAGTGGTGATTCTTTTCGTATCTAGAAATGTAAATAAGTTGGGTCCATGAGCCTTAATGTTTTAATAAACGTTTCTTGGTGCGTTTATGGGCTCGATGTTGTTCATTTGGGAGTGCTGGTGGGGTCCATCTTCTCTAATTCTCATCAAGATTTCTGATTCTCACTGTAAGAAATCCTCCTATCGAACATCTCAAATATTAATATGCAACCAATTCGATAGTCATGACAGAAGTGGCGCCCAAGCAAAAGAACAAATCTCCTTACAAACAAGTAAAAAACACTCAATTCATCCGGGCCGAACTTTTAATACCCTTCAGCTTTAGGTAAAGCAAACATTTTTATATAAAAGTATCTAACGTGTTCTATTTAAACTACAAATACCAATAAAACCGTTTGGGTAATGCTATTAAACTTTTCAAAAACCCATAAAGTGGTCGAGGCCGTTATATAATGGGAACCTCTATAGACCATTTTATACTTTGAGCATTGTCATCTACCAAATCTTCATAAATACAAAATTTGAAACAATTTAGCGGGTAAATGTGACTAGGATTATCAAAATACCGGATACCGGTGGATATCGTTATATGTGCGCTGTACGTGGACCTATACATACAATGTTCCGCTACCGGAGCTAGAACCCATTTTGACCTACAAATACCAATTTATAGGCAAATCGGTGAAAAAAATGTGGCAAATAACATCAAAATACAGAATATGGGGAGCTACCATTATATGGCGGCTATATCGAAACAATATCAACCATCCTAGACCCAATACAAATTGTTCTGCCAAATTCTGAAGCTCTACGTCAAATAATGTTGGCTGTATCGTGATTTCAACAGACATAGACGGATATCGTTAAATCGACTTAGATTTTTATGCTGATTATGAATATGTATACTTTATGGGGTCTACAACGAATATTTAGGGATGTTACAAACGGAATGTCAATGTTAATATTCCCTCTTTTTCAAGGTGGAGGGTATACAAATGAAAGCGAAATGTAGAGGGTAATAATGTCTGTAATAATGGTAATAATGTTCTGTTTTATTACTTTGTTCTTTGCGAATTTAGGTCCGATTCTATATACCCATGGATATGGTATAGGGAATACATTAATATAATCTCTACAAAATGATTTAGTCATCCGACTTATGACTCAATCAAAAAGTAGCAAATCAAAATACATACCTTCTTTTGACGTGGGTTGGATTTTAAATTTTACGTCATCAACCGCACAATAATCCATTATGCCGGTCTAAATTTTTCTCACCCAGAGCTAATGACCCTAATTTCAGATATTTGACGTAAACAAAAACCTGTTTTATACTTAATAATTTATTTCATTCTTTTTGTTTTTTTCTTAACAATAAATTAATTGCTACTTAAATTTAATAAGAAATCATAATAACAACATTTACATAGTTACTTCTTAAATATTTGTCTTATTAGGCATTAATGACGCGTCCTCTCGATGGTACGCGCCTTTTCGAGCAGACCCTTAAATGATTTTATTTCATGTCGTGGAAGTTTTTGACGTAGTTTCGAGTTCAGCAGACCATATATAAAATCTAGTTCAGTCTCTTCATCGTGCCGACCCTCTGGCAGCTTGGCCAGCAGTGCTCTCTTCTCGAGTATGAACGGATCGATTTGTTCATATTCTCCCTGTTTCTTCCGGTAATACGTTCAGTTGTTGACGTTAGTCAAAGAGAAACTAAAATGCCAACAGTGGACTTTTTTTATCAAAATTTATTTTGTTGTGAAATAGAAAACAAGAAATAAATGTATAAATGTGTGTACGTCCGTGGCTTTTTGCTGCTCTGTTCAATTGTTCTCAGTTATAGTTTGTCGTGTGAATGAGTCATATTTTGTTTTGGCTGTGTTATTTAAAGAGTTAGTTCAAGAGATTGAACGGTTTTTTTGTGTGAGAAATATTGCCACTTAGATGAGAGAAAAGCGATTTTGAGAGTACAGAGAGAAGTTTAAGTGAAATTACTTATGCATGATTGGGAAAACACGATATGGTTTTGTATTTGGATTTGTTTTACTTGTAAATGGGAATCCCCAATGACCGATAAGGTCATAAACGTATGCTCAAACATAGCATACGTTTACAAAAGCAGTAAGTTCGGCCGGGCCGAACTTTGAATACGCTCCACCATTTGAAACGAATTTAGAAATTTTCAAAAAATAAAATCCTTAAAAAATTTTGTGAATATTTTAAAAATACCGAATATAGTAGTTATATTCGGGTCTATACGACGTGGCTTGTTTGTCATAAGCCATCACCATATTCAAATTCGAAACTTGAAACAAATGGTGAATAATGTAGCTAAAATCATCAAAATATCGTATATAGGGAGATACCGTTATATCAGAGCTGTGGGAAGACCTGGACCAGCATAGACAATTTTCCGTCACAGGTTGTATCATCCATTACGAACTTCAAATACGACATCTCAAACAATTTCGGTGGATATTGTACCTAAACTCTTCAAAATACCGAATATAGGGAGGTACTGATATATGGGGCCTATATGAAGACCTGGTATCTATTACGACTGTAGTATCTATTACGAACTTAAAATACCAAATTTGAAACAATTCTGGTGAATAATGTCGCTAAAATCATCAAAATACCGAATATAGGGAGGTACCGTTATATGGGGGCTATACGAAGACGTGGACCTGCACAGATAATTTTCTGTCTTAGGTTGTAGTATCCATTTCGAACTTAACCTGCCTACTAGAAAAATAAACATGTGTGCAAAATTGTAGCTTTCTATCTCAATTCGTTCGAAAGATAGCGTGATTACAACAGACAGACAGACAGACATTGCTAAATCGAGTCATAATTTTTCGCTGATCAAGAATATATATACTTTATTATTATATTAAAACATACTAGTGAGAGTTGGACTTATCTTGGAAATTAAAAAAATTATAAAATTCTGGACGCCAAGTTTCAAAAAAGAAAAATGATAATAATAAAATAAAATAAAAAAATAGAATAAAAG